ACAATTTTCCCCAAAACCTTGTTCGAATCTATAAGGCACCTTCATGTGCAGCCGTCTTTGATTGTTAACCCTATAGATGCTTGTGCTTATGCTTAAGGCACTGCAGGTCTCTTTCTATAAGTGCCAGATCCTCTTGCACATGCGCCCTACAGGCTCGATTGTTGCCGCCCGTTTTTCGTAATCTGCATACATACCCCAGCCCTAGACCCTGACACCTGTAGTGAGGTTCTGTCAACTCTGTTTCTGTAGCAACTTTTCAAGATGAGCCCTTTCAAAAGCTCGGCCTTAGCCCTAGCAAGCCTACCTATATGGTACTGCTGTGTTTGTGGAGAGCCTACATCTGTGGATGCGATACGAAGAGAAGAGAATCAGGGTACCCCCAAAAGGTACTTAGTTTAAAGCTTGGGTTGGCAGGGGGGTTCAAAAAAGGAAGTCATTGAATTCTCGGTTTAGAGTTTAGGGCCCTAAACCCTAAACCCTAAACAGTTTAGGGTTCAGGGGCTACAGGGTTTAGGGTTTAAGGGCTTCAGGATTTAGGGTTTAGGGGCTGCTGTTTGGGCCTCGAGGGGCAACAAAAAAACGGTAGAGGTAATATTTTGGGGCCCTAATATTACGGTTCACTTTTTTTGGGGAAGGCTGGGTGCAGCTTCGGGGCTCCTACTTGTCTTAGAATCTCGCAGCAGCGGGCTGGGGTGCGACTCCAAGAAGCAAGCTCATCAGGTTTAGGGTTTGGGGTTTAGGGTTTGGGGTTTGAGGTTTAGGGTTTGGGGTTTTGGGTTTTAGGTGTTTGGGCTTGGGGTTTAGGGTTCCCGAATCTTGAACCCAAAAAACTGTGAAATCAAAAGAGGAGCTCAAGAGGCTGGGGCCGCTCCACTCGAAGGCAGCTGACTATGGGGCTGTCTGCAGGTTCGGGATGTCAGACTGTAACTAGGTTCCCCAGTGGTACCCTTTTGCCCTTTTTCTATTTGGGTTCCCTTAATAAACCCAAATAGTAGGGAAAAGGGTGCCCCTATCATTTAGGGGCTACTGGGGAACCTAGTTAAAAGGTTTTGGGGCTTAAGTTATTTGAGAGTTGTAGCATTGTAGGATTCAGACGGATTGCAGATCTTGTATGTTCCCGATGTGGGGGCTTCAGGGTTTAGGGGCGTTGTGAGGTTTGGCTCATGGCTTAAACTGCCAATAAGCCAACATCTGACCATGCGAGGCTCGTCTGCGCCATGAACTATAGACACCTCAAAGTTGCCATCATGCGCCCTTATTTAGGGTTTAGGGTTTAGGGTTTAGGGTCCTTAGGGGCGTCTTTGTCCATGGAGTCCATGGACCGGCTCTGGTAGCTGCAGCTGCCTAGTAACTGGGATATCTCTCGCAGGGCGCATATTCCCGCATGTGGGCCAGAGCATCCGATCAGCGCAAAGGCATCACCATTTCCAGGATCCAAGGGTCCAAGGGGTTTATTTTTTGGGGTTTTGGGTTTTGGGTTTTGAATTTTGGGTTTTGGGTTTAGGGTTTAGGGTTTAGGGTGACAGCAACACCGCGGTTTCACACGATGAACCTGCCCGAAACCCAGCTTTCGGACTTTATCCTCAAGCTCTCGTTCACTATGCGAGGCGGCCTTAGCGGCTTGGAAGGATGCGGTAGCTGCCTCAGGATGGTAAAACGGATAGGTTTGGGGTTTCGATTTAGGGCTTGTCCGAGTTTAGGGTTTAGGGATCAGAGCTTCTGTCGAGCCTTGCTCTGCCAGTAGGGTCATGCGCGTCAATATTCTATCCTTGAGCAGATTGTGCAGTGATTGCAGGTATTGCCGTTCGTACCTTCACGGGATCTTCAGCCAAGCTTCAGTCCGTTGTCATCTACAGCTTTTCCTGTGCGCTCTTGCCTTAAGAGGGGGTGAGGGTTGGGTAGGCGCTGGCCGGCACCTCAGTCCGTGCCGAAAAAAGAGATCAGAGCGCTTGTAGGGGATTGCCACGAGTGTATTGCAGTATTCGTGTGGCTTGTGACTGCTTGGAACCACAGGGCCTACCTCCTGAATGATCTGGTAATCTGGACCAACAACACAGTAAGACAGCTGTGAATTAGTATAGTAGCGTAGTCGTACATTAGAGTAGTACATTTGTACAGTAGGAGAGCAGTACATTGGTACAGTACTACTGGTGCATATTTCCCACAGTAGTAGTCGTCGTCGTCGTAGTAGTAGTAGTAGTGGTAGTGGTAGTGGTAGTGGTGGTGGTAGTGGTGGTGGTGGTGGTGGTAGTGGTGGTGGTGGTGGTGGTGGGGTTTCCGGGTGGTTTCGGATGCTCAAGCCTCAGGCCTATTGGCCTTTTTTAATCCGCACAAAAGGCCCCAAAGCCGTTGAAAGCCAATCCTTCTACCTAGTCGTTCAGCACCAGCTCGAAAACTTCGAAAATAAGCCTGAGGCTGATCAGAACCCATAGGAAAGACTCCAAAGCTTTCAAAAAGCCAGCCCGCGGCCCATTGAGACTTTTAGCAAAAGCTCAGCAAAGTCGAAAATCGAGCCGCCAGCCTCTTGGAATCATCGGAAAAGGCCAACAAAAATCCAAAGGCAAGGCTTCGGAACAAACTCTGAAAACCTTATTCCAAGCCTTGAGTCTCAAGCCCAACAAAAACCAAGAATGAGGCATCCCTCTGTTATCTTCGCCTCAGGATCCAAGTACCTGATAATCACATACCCTCCCAAACTGCTCTCCTGGACCCAAGTACCTGATCATTGGATCCTTTGAGCCCTTAGGGCAAGATTTGCCATCAGCAGAGAGGAAAGTGCAGAAACACAAACCTGGGCCTAATCGCGAGCAGGTTTAGGGGGTTTAGAGTTTAGGACATGCCCAAATCCTGAACTTATCGGAGGCTCACCGAATAAGACCCAGTGCAACACTAGCTCCTTGAAGCCGGAACCCTGAATCGTCCCAACTCCTCAACCATTTTACCCAGAACCCCAAGTCCCTCGGGCCGGAAACATAAGAGCCCACCATTTTTTTCTGCTGGGTGCCGATGTCGATATACGATGCTGTTAGACGTAATTTCTGGTTTGGTGAACGTTGTTGTCGTCGGATATAATGATTCTGGAGGTTGTTGGTGCTGCCTACATCGTCTTTGCTTTTGCTGCATGTGTTTTGTTCGCGTTTTGGTTGGTAGTCAGTCAGTCAGCCAGTCAGCCAGTCAGCCAGTCAGGCACTCACTCCACTCCGCTCGCTCTCGTCTTGTTTGTTTTGAGTATCGCCGACACGAGACCCCGATCCCGTCGTACCGGAGGGAGACAGGAGACAGGAGAGAGAGAGAGAGAGAGAGAGAAAGAGGGAGATACTTGTTACCCTCCGGCAGGTAATGCAAGTCGTTGGACTTTAACACTCTGTTTGTCACGCGATGTGAGTGGGTGGAGCTGGAGTGAAACATTTCATTTCAATATCCGGTTTCTTGAGGCGAAGTCCATGCAACTGCACCGGGAGCAGCCCACTGAAGCAAAGGCAGTGTTTCGGTGGGTCTTCCAAACGGTTTGGGGGTTTGGACCCAAACCGTGCCATGTGGAGTCAGGGACAGGTTTCATGTCGAGCAGCTCACAACAGCTGGCGCCCTCATGTTCTTTTCGTAAGGATCCGGTTTTGGTCTAGGGTTTAGGGTTTCAGGTTTAAGTTTTAGGGCTTTGGCTTAGGTTTTAGGATTTCGGGTTGATCCTTGAAGCTACCACGGCTTCGTTCTTTGATCCTGTACCCTAGCGAATTTGTCGGTCCACCTGCATGGGGCTAGGAACTTGGCTCCGGTCATGAGGTTCTGCAGATCTTTCATCGGACGGGCACTTCCGTCTTACTTCTTGTGCACTGCTCCGTAATGCTCGTAGTGGATGCGTTAGGCTCCAAACCCTAAACCTCGACCCTAAGCAGACAAGTCTTCGTCCCTGAGAAGTTGGGTGTATTGATGTATTTAAACTGACACTTCGGGGGGCTAGGGTGTGCTTCACACTCGAAAAACTTGCCTAGCGCCGGACTTGCAGCTCAAGATGAAAACCCTAAACCAAAACCATCAACCATAACCCCTACACCCTAAACCCTAAAACCCTAAACCCTAAATCCTAAACCGGATGAGTGGGCTTCGTCTGGTCCGTAAACTCAGTCTTTGAATGCCGAGCCTGCAGCCGGTGCAGGAGTTTAGGGTTTATCGGGTTTAGGGTTTATAGGGGTTCAGGGTTTAAGGTTTAGGGTTTAGGGTTTGTGAGTCTAGGCTGTCTAGGCTTAGGTTTTAGGGTTTAAACTGACTGGCAGAGTCTGGGTTCAAAAAAAGGTTTAGGGTTTTAGGGTTTTGGAGTTTAGGGTTTAGGGTTTAAGGTCTAGGGTTTCGGGTTTGAGTCACCCGAGTCAGTTGACGGAAGCGTGAACTCATGTGGGGATTAGCAGGCCGGGCAACAAGGCAGCTGCGTCGTGCTCAAGTGGGGGAGTGGGGAGCAAGATGAGCCATGAATCTCCATAAGCCCTAGCTAAACCCTACAAAAGTTATCGGTTTAGGGTTTAGGGTTTAGGGCCTATAAGCGGTGATTCCGGTACTACGTGGGCTCAGGACGCCTAAGCTCTAAACTGCTCAGCAGCTTCTAAGGGCTTATAAAGGCGTCTGGTGTCCTTAATTGGTCCCGGTCGGGGGCTGGAAGTCCGGAGGCTTGCTCTAGAGGCCTGAATAATTACCTACATTGTGTTGGAGGTTCCCTACCCCAATTATAGTACAATATACCCCCAAAAAACCCGTTCTAATATATTATTTACGAAGCGTCTCATGGGTGGGTTTAAGTTATATGGGTACCGCGTTTCAGGGTTGGAGCTATCGCGAGTTGAAGAGTAAGACCTTACTTCGAGTAAAGCCCCATATCCACAAAGCATCCACAAGCCAAAGGCATACGAGAGCTGCGCCCGAACTCCATACCCTATGCATGCTGGCCGAGGTCGTATATAAATGTTTCGGGCTTATCTCTGCCTTTCTGAAAGACCCGCTTTGCATCCGACATGACGTCCCACGATGCCAGCCGCTCCAATGCCACGGTTCCAGCGGCCATGCGTGCCCGGCCTAAAATAGAATGGAGGAAAACGGAAAGGGGGTGTCAGTGAGTCAGTGTTCTCTATTTGTGTTCACACAGGCTTCCAAGTTGCCTCGTTGGTTCGATTCCCATCGGGTGAGAGTTGAGGGTTAAGAGCCTTCCGACCCCCAAGCCAAGGCGGCCTCACCAAGCAACAGCGGCGCAAATTCTTCCGCCGCAGGGGACCGGCAGGGCTAACACAAGCCATTGCATGTAGGATTGGGATCGGGCCGTTCTGCAAAAACCGAGGATTCTTGTTGGGGTCACAATCCATTGCATGGCTACAGGGTTTTTGAAACTCCCTTCGGTGGTGCTGGAGTTTTGATCGGGATGTCTCCAGGTTTGCGATGTCTACGACAAGCACCTGTCTGCATCGTCATCAGAATTACAACTGTTGACAGAATTACATAAGCGACGACAGCCATTGTCCGAAGTGCAGCAGTCTTCTGGACGACAGTTTCAAGCACAGAATCCAATGATTAGCCATTTTGTGGTGGTAGCCATTTTGTGGTGGAGTGTTACTTGGATTTGGAATGATCCGGCACGGTTGTCTGCACCCTCAACCCTGAGATAGTGTAAGGCCCAGACCCCACACTCCTTGGGTTTCGGGTTTAGAGTTTAGGATTTAGGGTTCAGAAAGTCAGTTTAAGGTTCATAAGTTCAGTCTGAAGCCCATTCAGCGGTTTAACTGCGCCTGTCACGACGGCACGACGCAGACCCTTACCCTAAGGAAGTCTAAAATAAGGCACCCTAAGTTGAAGAATCACTGCTATACCACACTTTTCGGGTGGAAGTCGTGTCTTTGGAAAGCCGGGGAGCCCTGTCAGCATCCCCCACTAATATACTCGTAGGGGCCTTAATAATTAGAATAGGGTTTGGGGATATATTATACTGTAACTATAGTAAGGAACCCCCAAAACCCTGTTGAAATTTTTAAGGCCCCTTCACTACCCTCGGGTTCGTAGGGTTTAGAAGCGAACGGGAGCGCATCACCCCCGGAATACCCATGCGACTGGTCGGAGGAGGACAAGACCACGAGACCGAGCCACGTTCCAAGCGAGGTTTGGAGAAGACACCAGCAAGTCCCTTAGTTTCCGCTGCTTCTCTTGCAGTGCACCCCTTCAGATGTGGGTGAGAATGGGACCCCAGACAGTACCATCCGAGTCTGAGAAGACCCCGCAGAGGTGATCCTGCCAGAATCCAAAACCCTAAAACCCTAAACCCTTTAACCCCCAAACCCTTAAACCCTAAACCCCAAAACGTTAAAGCCCTAAACCCTAAAATGCAAACTTTAAGCCTCAGGCTCTGAGCGGAAATTCTCTGTTTTGCGAGTTGCGGCTTTCAAGTTTACCGAACAGGTAGCTTTTCAGAACGCGAAGCGCACAACGGGGGATCCCCATCTGCAAGTTCCAAATTCAAAAATCTTCCGTTTGGGACGCTGACGGACGGGACTCTGCTAGATTCGCATTACTTACTCTCAATATCCAGCCAGAGTCTATGCTGCGTGGGATTAACAGGATCTTGTGGAGACTTCTCGGCCCAGCCTCGTGTCACTGCTAGTATCAGTATGAGCATCCACGAGTTTTGCCAATAAATGCCCCTAAACCCCCGTTGCCCAGTGAGGAGGAGGCGGCAGAAGCCCATTTCCGGGCATTGCGCAGAAGGCGCACATCTCCCGGGCGTTGTTTGTTTTTTGCGGTTCCAGGTTTGGGGCTTAGGGCTCTGTTTTGCTACATCTTGGTCCTGTTCGGATTTCCAGTCGGGGATACTGCAGAAGATAAGCGATGTTTGGAATGCATGTGCTGTACTGGTGGATAGAACTTGAATCATGCTTCCTGTCATTCTCACGGGTTGAGCGTTTTCATTGCAGAAACCTGACGGGATGCTTTGCGTTTTGAGTGTGTTTGGCCGCATGGCTACATGCATGTAGATAGTCGTAAACACAAGTGTAAGCCTGTGCACATGCATGTCAACAACTATGTCAAGGGAGAGGCAGAGAGAGAGAGAGAGAGAGACAGAAAGAGCTGCCTACATCAATCATGTGTATATATGTATTTTTATTCTGCGCACGTGTAGAAGCCGTATTGTTTGCAAAGATGCTCAAACGAGAAAGTAGTTGTTTGTCTCCTTCGAATCTTGCCTGCCTGCATGCTCCTGCAACGCAGAGCGATACCGGCAAGATATCGTAAAACGTCACCATGCTACTACAGGGGCCTTAATAGTTCCCGGTATATTTTTGGGGTTCCTTATTATCATAATAACAGTATAGCATACCCCACAACCCTACTCTAATTATTAAGGCCCCTATATTATCAGAGGCTCCTGGGATGATCTTCAGATTACATCCAAAGTGTGAAGCTTTGGGCATCAAGAGAAATTGTTGAAGCCTCTGCATTCGTATGACAGGAGCGCGTTCCAACATGCAAGAATACATGAGTCTAAGATACTTGGATTGACGACATCGAAGTTTGGAATGTAGAAGTCTGTGAGAGCTTTGCGGTAGTGCCCTAAGGTGGTATCTGCGAAACACGAGCTATGTGAAGTTTCAAATGCTGCGTAGAGACAACGACAATGGATCAGCAATCTGATCGCCTGGCCCGGAAACCCTAAACCCTAAACCCCTACCCTGAGGCGGAAAAATGAGCTCAACAAACAAAAAACCTAAACCCCTGGCCCTGCCAAGATGTGGTGTTCCAGACACCGGTGTGCCTCGTTTCTTCGAGCCGGTGTTTCCCTGCCTCTTGGAAGCGAGAAGGTGTGATCTCAAGCCTTCCTTAAGGGAGAGTCACAGAGTACAGTAGGGGCCTTACTAATTAGAATAGGGTCTTGGGGGCTCCTTATTACAACTATAGTCTAATACACCCCCAAACCCTATTCTCATCATAACGGCCCCTATATTGCATGTGTCAAAGCTTGAGTGGCCTTTTTGGGCATGCTGCGTGATGTGCATGTGATGCAGCGAGTGGTTTGCTGCGACCTTCTGTCGGTTCGTTCGAAGCATGCATTCTACATCGCATTAAGACATTATAGGAGAGCCTCGCAACATTCCAAACCCACAGGAAGGCAAGGATGCTCCAGATATGAGCTGGAGAGTTCCGGGTTCTGATGCTCTTCTGTCCTCGTGGGTCACTACTGCGTGGTATCTCGTCTTTCTGAGGATGCTCTCGCCATTAGGCTGCTGCTGTTGTCAGTTCCGACTGTCATGATGTGTTCGCATCTAACCCCGGAAGTTGCGGCCATGCTAGGCAACTCGGATGCCAAGAAGCGCTGGTCCTACCGTGCCAGCACTCTTCAAGCAGCTTATGCGCAGAGGCCCGGCAAGCTTCGGAACACCACTGCTGGTGTTAGCACATGCCGGGGTAAGGGGTCGCCCATGTTTGAGACTTGCAAACACTCACGCCCGGATGAAAGCACTTCGAGCATCTATCTCTTTCGCCTTCCCTCGGCTTGGCTCTTATGTGCCAAAAAACAGGTAGGTAGGTAGGTAGGTAGGTAGGTAGGTAGGTAGGAAGGACGGAAAGAAGGGAGGTACTTGTAGGAAGGTAGGCAACAAAGTAGGGAGGCTGAATTCACAAGCAAGTATAAGTATGTATGTACGTAGTTTGTACATATGTAAATATGCATGTACGCGGATAGGTAGATACCCGGACATGGTTAGTCGGAGTATGGCATAAGACAAACTGCAAGAAGACATGATGTAGGACCGTTGGGCAAAGCCCTTACAGGGCTTGGCAACTGTTACCTGCCAAGTTATGACAGTATCTAGTCAATAGCTAGTAGTTGGCAGGGGTAGGAGTAGGGGTCGGAGAAAGTAGGAGTGGCCGTCCTCGTCGTTGCTGTAGTCGTGATGTAGCAGCCTCACCAAAAAAACGAGTAGTGCATGCACATGCAGATGCGCAGCAAGGGAGCAATCTGCATTTGTGTGCTTTTGCCTCGTCATGCAGGGTCGAGTGGACAGCTACAGAGAAGCAGCTGCTTCAACGGGCAGCCCGTCTTTGTGCGTCCATGGGTTTGTCGTCAGGCTTTGTTTCCAAAATATTCCGGCAATCGCGTGTCTAGCTATATAAACAAACAATGTTTTCCAGCGCTGTGGAGTAGCTATGGCTCCGAGCTCCAGCTAGTTTACAGGAAGTGTTGAATCTTTGCTGTTGTCATGTAGAGTCGCAAGAGGAATCATGAATACCCTCAACCAAACCGCTTATCCTGAATTGTCAATGTCATGGAGCATGCTCCCCACCCCGGCCACGACAAGCTACTTGCACTGCATTGCTGTGGAGGATTTGTCTGCCTACTCCCACTATTCGTTGCAGAGCTATGCCTGCGCTAGTTTCTTACGCTCCAGGTTCCCTAAACTGCTCAACCCTACACAAAGGCTACTCCGTAAAGCAAAAAACTCCTAAACCCTGAACTTCGCCTCCTAAGCTCCCAAACCCTAAACTCCTAAACCCTCAACGCCTTTCTCTGCCTGTTCGTCGCATCCGAGGCGCTACACGCCGAGCTTCAGGAGGTCAGATGTGTATGTAACAACAGGAGTTGGAATAATTAGTACTGTTACTCTTTCGGGTTCCTCGCTGTAGAATATTAAATACCATCATATACCCCTGTCATTCTAATTATTCAGGCCTCTATATTAAGTTGAAGGGGGCGTTCACACTGCGGCCGGTGTCTTTCGAGCTTCTTTCCATGATGGGTGTGGGCTGCACGTCTGGGCTGCCCTTGCAGAAGCAGTACCATTTTAACAGAAAGGGGTTCTGACCTTTGTAGCGAGGGGTTTAGGGTTTAGGGTCGAAACACCTTAAATATTTACGCCAGCAATAGGAGCCCTGAAGCTTGAGGAGACAAAGCCTGAAAGAGATGGCAAGCTCCCTTCACCCTTGGCTGCCCCCCGTCAACACTCCAAAACCCCAAACCCTAAATCCTCCAGCCCCAAAACCCAAACCCTCAGCCCTAGACCTTCAAACCCCCAAGCCCTAACCCAAACCCTAAATCACCCTACACCCCTAAATCCCCAAAGCCCCACGTCCCTGTGACAAGCTGGCACTAGGAGACTCGCTTGTGGATCGGTGCCTGCCCTCTGCAGGTGAAACCCTAAACCCGAAACCCTGAAACCCTAAACCGTCGTTGAGCGCATCTTCCAGAGACGATGAGAAGGTGAATGATATTGCAGTTTGCATACAGCTGGGGGTCGTTCGCATGCCGGATGCGTGGACCCTTGCGCATGCTCAATGAGGATCCTGACAGCCTGACTCTGCATGTGCACGAGCCTTCCCATGGTCCGGGATATGCATGCGTGGAATACAGCTGAAGCAGGAAGCATGGTGCCTTTGCATGTCTGAAGCGTGAAACCTGGTGTTTTTGCATGAACTGCGATTGTCGTGATGACCATTGAGGTACAGGTAACCTACTGGTTTCATCGGGTCTTCACACAGCGTGAACTAGGGATGTAGATCACATGCTGTTGTGAAGGTCTGTCGTCAGACGGGCTAGTGAGTATGGTTGCTCAGCTGTTGTTGTCTTGTCATAAGCCCTCCCTGACAACATGGGACTCAGGGATGTATGCTGCGTTCTCTAGTGGTTCATCGTTGGACCGGTATCGCTACAGACTTGCCAGGCTTGTCCGAGCGTGAGTGTCAAAAAAGCGAACCCTAAACCCTGAAACCCTAAACCCTGAAACCCTGAACCCCTGAAATCCTGAACCCCTGAAACCCTAAACCCTGAAACCCCAAACCCTGATGTAGATTATGCACGTGTAAACTGTT